TTCCTTCATTTTTAAAAAGAAATGTTAATGTATATTAGTCAAAGAAAAATAATCCAAATTCCCAGAAACATTCAAGGCTGGTTCAATAGTTGAAAATTACCTTGTGTAATTCACCATATTAACAGATTAAAGCAAAAAATGCACATGATCACTTCAATAGATGCAGAAAAGACATTTGACAAAATTCAACATCCATTCATGATAAAAACCCTCAGGAACCTCAGAAAAGAAGGAAACTTCCTTAACCTGATTTAGAGAATCTACAAAATGACCTACAGCTAACATTTTAAAGATGAAAGACTGAATGTGTTCCCTTTGAATTGGTGAACAAAGCAAGCATGTCCCCCTTCATCACTCCCATAAGTCAAGAAAAAGAAAAGGCATAAAACTAGAAAGAAATAAACAGGTGTCTAATAGATTACATGACTGTCTACTTAGAAAATCCCAAGAAACCTACCCCCCAAAAAAGGTCATAGAAGAGATGAGTAAAAACTCAGGATACAAAGTCAATATACAAAAAAAATTGTACTATATCTTGTCAATGGTCAATTGGAAACCTAAGTCTTTTTAAATGACCATTTACAACAGGACCAAAAAACTGAAATACTTACGTAGAGATTTTAAAAATCTTTGCAGGATCTGTATGTTGAAAACTAAAAACACTCATAACAGAAATCAGAGACCTAAATAAATAGAGAGAACATGGTGTTCACAGATTGGAAATTTCAATTTGGTTAAGATGTCAATTACCCCCAAGTTGAACTATAAACACAATCCCAATAAAAATTCTAGCAGAATTTTCCTGTGAACATTAAGAAGCAGATTCTAAAATTTACATGGAAAGACAAAAGAACTAAAATGGTGAAAACAATTTCGAAAAGGAATAAAGTTGGAGAACTCACATTACTTGATTTCAAGACTTATTTCTAATCTCTAGTAACCAAGACACTGTGATATTGTCAAAGGACAGACAAACAGAACAACGGAAGTCAAGGGCCTAGAAACTGACCTACACAAATGCAGTCAAATGATTTCTGACTAAGAGACAAAGGCAATCCAATGGAGAAAGGATAATCATTTCAACAAATGGTCATAGAACAATGTGACAAATAAATGAAACTCAACCCAAACCTTTCTCCATACAAATACATACTCAAAACAGAACATAAACATAGATTTAAATGTAAAATATAAACCTTGTAGAAGAAAACAGGAGAAAAATCTTTGTGACCTTGGGTTAAGCAGTGTTCCTAGACACAACACCAAAAGTAAAATCCATAAAAGAAAATACTGATATTTTGGACTTCGCCAAAATTTAAAACTTCTGTACTTCAAAAGACACTTACAAAAATAGAAAAGGCAAGTCAAAGACTGGGAGAAAAATCTTTGCAAATCACCTATCTGACAAAGGATTATAGAGAACCCTCAAAACTCAACGAGAAAGTCCTATTTTAAAATAGGCAGAATATTTGGACACTTCAGTGAGGATATACAGATGGCAAATAGCACATGAAAAGATGCCTAATATCATAGGCATGAGAAAAATACAAATAAAAACCACAATGAGATGCTGCTACATACTTATTAGCATAATTAAAGTAAATGCATTTACCATACCAAGTGCTGATGAGGATATAAAGTAACAAACACTCATACATTGCTGAGGGAAATACAAACTGGTTTAGACTCTTTGAAAATAGTTTTACAGCATATAGTTTTCTACAGTTTTGTTGTAACTATGGTTATAGTTTCCTATGCTGCTGTAACAAATAACCAGAAACTCAGTGGCTTAAAACAACACAAATTTATTAGTATTTTACATTTTGTTGGTTAGAAGTCTGATTCAGGACTCTCTGGGCTAAAATCAAGACATTGGCAGAGCTGCATTCTTTTCTGGGGGCTCGAAAGGTTAATCCATTTCCTAGCTTTTCCCCCAGCCCACTCTCTGGCCTTAGCTCATGGCTCCCCTCCCCCATCCTCAAAACCAAGTACTCCACATCTCTCCCGCCCTTCTTGTTACATCTTGTCTTCTGACTACTGCTTCTCTTTCCTTTTTAAGGACCTTTGTGATACACTGGGCCCACCTGGATAATCCAGGATAATCTTAATATTCTAAAGTCAGTTGATTAGCAATCTTAATTTCACCTGCAATTTTAACTCATCTTTGCCATGTAACCTAATTTATTTCCAGGTTCCAGGGATTAGGACATCTTGGTGGGACATTATTCTGTTTACAACAGACAGCTTCAATAAAGTTAAACATATAGTTGTCATACGACCCAGCAATTCCACTTCAAGGTGCTTACCCAAGAGAACAAAGACATTCACACAAAAACCTATTTGCAAAGATTTACAGGAGTTTTATTCATAGACCCCCCCCCAAAATAACTGAAATGTCTTTCAACTAGTAGATGGATACACAAAATGTGGTACATCCATAAAAATGGAATACTATATTCAGCAATAAAGCAGAAGGAACTGCTGATACACTTAACAGCATGGGTGAACACTCAAATCTATTATGCCAAATGAAAGAAACTAGACTCAAATGGCTAGATACAGCATGATTTCATTATTTTGATAGTCTGGAAAAGACAAAGTACAGAGAGAGACAACAGATCATTAGCTGCCAGGAATTAAGGGTGGAGGAAGGGTTCATCACAAAAGGGCAGCTCAGGGGAATTTGGGTGCTGGGACTGTTCTGTACCTTCCTTGTGGCAGTTGCACAGCTTTATGCATTTGTCAAAACAACTGTACAATGAAGAGAGTTTATTTCATTTCATGTAAATCAAAAATAAAGTTAAAGTCTATTTCAAGGAAAGACTACAAATACATCATTTCTCACTCATTAGGTTGGCAGAAATTTAAAAATCTTACAATGCCAATCTGACAATTCCAAGTGTGGACAAGAATGACTTACATACTGTTGGCAGGAATGTAAATTGTTAAAACTTCAGAGGATGATTTGGCTGCAGCTAGTGAAATTGAAAATGCACATCAATTATAGCCCAGCAATTCGACTTACAGGTAAGTATACATTTTAGGGAAATCTTCACACATGTGCTCGAGTACACATGCAAACAGTCACTGAATATTGTTTGAAACAGAGAAAAATTGAAAACCACCCTTCAGTAGGCGAATCAATTCATTGTGGCTAGCAGTTATTCAAACAAGGAAAGGAAAAAATGCCTAAGAAAAAGAATCAACCCTGCTGGCTACACACGTGATTTTGTGAAAGGTAACTTAAAAGACCACCACACTTGGAATCTGCAGACAAGCATTTTAGCAGTCAAGACTGTGGACTGCTTACTACATAAAGCTCACTTTACTCTTCCTGGAAAATGAAGAGGCAAGGCTATAAAAGTACTAAGAATATTTCCAACACAACAATTATACAATGATTTAATAGGTGTATATAATAAAAAATTATATTCTAAAGCCCCTATGTGGAGAAACAATTTTCCCCAGACACCCTGAAATAACAGACTATCAGTGAAATAAAACGTCTTAGTATACTGATACATAAAATGGACCAAACTTCTTGGTCTGTCTTTTTAATCAATATCACAATTCAGAAGGAACATATACTGCTTACCCTCAGGTAAAACATACATATCCTCTCTCATTCTAACATTCTAAAACAATATTGAGCGTACCTTTACTGTCAAGTTCAGATCTGTCTAACCAAAAGTCATTCAAATACACGGTATGATTCACTTGCTTCTTTTTAGAAACAAAGATAAAATGAATTGCCTTTCGTATTTTTGTCTGTGTTATATACAAAGACCTTACACGGTAATTTCATAGCTTCAGCCTGCTACAATAAAGAGCCTTTAAAAACCTGTAATATGTCATGACACAGGGATCTAGTAAAAAAAGAAATCAGTACTTCATAATCCAAACAAGCTTATTTAACAATTTCATTACCACCAATACTTATACTTCAAAGACACCAAATAACCAACATGTCATTTGTTTCTATTGCAGAATTTAATAGGCTATTAACTTCTGGTGTAATCCAAAAGCATAATTAGAATACAATCATTAAAACATTTTTTAAGAGCATAAATATTAACGCCTTTCACCTTGTTGGTAAAACCAAAACTTCAAAATTCTTGTTCTACACTTTCCAAATTTAAATTCTCACAATTCTAAACGAGTACGGAGACAAAACGTAGACTATATACTACTTCTAAAAACCTCCTAGCTTCCAGATTTTAATTTTAGCGCCAAATGCCAAAAACAAAACAAAACAAAACCAAAAAACCTCTCGACCGAAACCTGAATTCCGTACACATTACTGTATGTATATCAAATAAGCATAAGGTCAGTTATTACTAGTAAGTTACATAATTTGCACCGAAGATTGTTTAAAGCGCCTTTCATTAAATGCAGCTTCCAACAATTTACAGGCTTCAAAGTTCACCTTGCAAACTTAGAGTCAATTATCAGAAACTATTTACGAGAATAGGTTTTTCTTTAAGATTGGCCACAAGGAAGTAAGAATAGTTTATTTGTTTAAAGAATGCAACGAGCAGCTGAATACCAGGAGCTGAGTCAAGCAGAGGAACGCTGACTACATTCCGTGTTCTCCAGGAAAGTGTTCCCCTGCCTGTTTCCCCGACCCGGCTTAGAGGGAGTCCCGGGAGTCCCGAACTCGGGGACGGAGGTGCAGGGGACGGGCGACTCCCTGCCGCGCCTCCCGCAACTCGGGCTGGGAGGGCAGCAGCGCCGCCAAGGTGGGTCCCTCGTCAAGACAAGAGGGACTGGGCACAGCCAGGCAGCGCTCCTCCAGGGACAAAGGTTGGGCTCACGCCTTCCGTGGCGGGCTGCCGCTCCCCGCGGCGTGGGGCAGTCCACAGGGCAGACCCAGGTCCCTCCTGAGCCAAGCGCACGGCGTGTGGGGGAGGGGACCAGCCCGACTTCCCCTCCCCCGCCGCGCTCCTGGGGACCTGTTGATTAAGACCTCCACACCGAGCTGCCGCCTGTCCATCTCTTACCTCTGCGCCACAGCGGCCGCGGATCCTGCTGCCCCAGCCGCCTCCAAATACTGCAGAAACGACAGCTCCCCAACGGCACTTAAGATACCGGATAAAGAATCCAGAAACTCCCGATTCCCCACCTCACAATCCTTAGTCCCCGCCCCCGCCTCCGTCGCCAGCCACCGCCGTCTCCGCCGCCGGCGACTCCACCTCTGCACCGCGCGAGACCGGCCCCCGCGGCCGCCGCAAGACCGCGCACGCGCCCCCGGGACTGTGGCGTAGCGGGAGCGCCTATCCCAGTCCCTCCTGGGCGCGCCCCGCCCTCCGCTAGGCAGAGGGGCTGGCGCGGTTCGCCCAATCCCGAGCCCGTGCGGAGAGCCGGCCCGCTCATTGGTCAGTTCTGTAGCTCCGGAGCGTCTGGTCGCGCGCACTGGCGCGCCTCCAAGTATCAATGGCAAACTGCTTCGGGCTTGTAAGCATAGGGAATCGCTTTGGGCTTGAGCTCGGGGGAAGTAGGTTGTGTGGGGCTGCGAGGTTTCCCTGGGACGTAGTCGGGAGCAGCTTACGGTTCTACAGCCCCTGACTCTTCTCGCTGTGGAAGACTGTCCGCTCCTAAAGAAAATCAGATTCCCCGTGAGGCCACTCCTCCTGTCCTATGAAAGACGTCACATGATCTAACTTTTGTGTGTGTGTGTTTTTTTTAACGTGACATACTTGAACACTACACATGTAGTGTCCCACAGAAGAATTTTCTGTTACCGCCGAAGACTCCAAAAAGCTAGCAGCTTGGATCGAGTTCTGAAAACCAGAAAGGAAGAATGCCAAGGGCCAGAGCTGTTTCACAAAACTTGAGTGAATGGGTTTAGAGTGTCCTGGGCCAACCCATACCCAGTGCAAGAAAATCCAGATAAACAATGTTTAGAATTCCCTAGGAACTGTTAGCCATATACAAAAAAGGGTGTCTATGTGTGTGACCTATTTCCTTTTCTAAGTTCTTAAATGCATAAAATAATTATTCAAGAAGCCTCCTCTAGTTCCTCTATGAATTTTTCTTCCTCTGTCTCAGGATTTCTCAACCTCAGGGCCATTGATATTAGGGCCACAGCATTCTTTGTTAGGGGGGACTTCCAGTGCATTGCAGAATGTTATAGCAGCATCCCTGATTTCTACCCTCCAGATGCCAATAGCACCACTACCCCCATTATGACCATGAAAAGTGTCACTATACATTGCCAAAGGTCCCCCCTGGGCCTAAAATCACCTCCGTTTAAGAACCACTGATCTAGCTGTTCAAAGAAATGTACTCTTCGGAAAGAGTCTCTCATTACCCTTGCATTCCAATTGCCTGGCTCCAAGCAATTTTGCATAACGCGCCTAAGCAAATGAGCTCCCCAGCTACCTAGGCTCGCTTCCCCAGCCGCTGAGAGACCTCTGTCACAGGACTGCACACCAGTAAAATGATCACTGTCTGAGAGAGCAGCTGGTGTTCTCAAAACATGCGGAGACTCCTATGTAAAGTGCTATACAAACGTTACTCTTTACCTCTCAAAGATGTTTTCATTTTAAAAGAGGGTAGACCTTATGACAAATAAAAGTTTATTCTCTGGTGGATAAAGCCATTTCCAGAATCCTGAAATCACTCAAATTACTGGCTTTGTGTGCAAAAAGTGAAGAATAGAAGAAATAGAATCTATAGGTAAGGTAATTGGATTTGAGATTTAGCTTTGATGCTGACTTATTTGGTGACTTGGATGTGTGAGAAATTTCCTAAACTTTTCCTAACGTTTCCTAAATATACTTGCTTAAATGTTCTCATCTGTAATATAACAGGTTATTTTATACTGGTTTTAAGATTCTAGGAGTTTTTTAAATATTTAATCTAGCATAGGGAGTTAAGAAAATGTGATTTCATCCCAAAATAGAATGTAATGGGTGATCCGTGGTTTAAAATCCCCCGTCAGAAGAGTTGTTCATCCTTGTCACAGGGCAGGTTCACCCGCTGAGTCACCCTGGCAAATTTGTAACTAAGTATTTTGGGTGAGTAGTGAAAGACAAACTAGAAAAACAAGTGTATGGCAAAGGGTGACCATACCCTTCCTCCCTCCTCCTCTTGGCATCTGCTCAACCTATCATCTGGCAACAGCCTCTATTACATGTTTATGTAATAAAATGTTGTACCATTTTATTATGTTAAAGGCCTGGGGGAAATATATTCATATTGCATGTTAGCCATTTGCAACAGATCTGGAATCTCAGTTTTCAAGATTCTACCATTCACTGTTATATGTGAAATCCTTAACTAAGGCTATTATATTCCTTTGGTTTTATCACTTATATGTACTGGTATAAGCCAAAGTTTTCATAACTGAATTAGTAGCCTAATCATTTATGATTGATTAAACCAGGTGGTCAGAAATGATGTCAATTAAAAGAATACTCACTGATTCAGATATGAGAAGTTATGAAACAAGTTAGTAGGTACATTAATAATTAAATATCTAAAAAATTTTAAATTAAAAAAAAAGAAGAAACCAAAAACCATGAGCTTTTGTAGCTTAATTGGGTTTAGTTATTATTATTTTGATTTTTAGTACTTCTTAACCTTTCATAAATCTAGCTGAAATTACTATGTCCCTAAGCTAAGGACATCATGCAGTTGTTGCCATGTGGGATGGGAGGTCCCACTGTCTTTGGTTAGTGCAGCATCAGCATCATTCAGTACAGGTGGGTACCATTCAACTCACCTGACTTTAATAAATATTCACTCATTAACTCAAAAAATAGATACTGAGCACTTCTTATGTGTGAAGTACTATGCTGTAGGAAACTGAAACGTGACAGTCCCTGTCCTGGAATAAGTAAGGTGTGAAAAGGGACAGGACAAGTTCATCAAGGTCAAATAGAATATAGTGAGCGGAAACAAGTCTGCATGGCCTCAAAGAATGGTCAAGTCTCACACTAGGGGGAGCTTTGCTGTCTAATGAAGAGGGAGAGTGACAGGGGCAGAAAATAACCCACTATTAAAATACCCACAATAATAGGAAAATCAAGATCTTATACGTGGCTTTCAAAAGATAAAGCTTTCATCAATTCGAATGGGTGAAGCACACAGTGGAAAGCATGGGCTTATGGGAACATAAGTAGCCAACAGTAACTTCAGACTAGCATATTCAGTATTGAGAATGTTAGTCATTTATCAGACTTTTATCTGTACCCTTCTTGAGTGGTCCTGTGCTAGGCTGAGGATGTGTAGACAAATAAAACATGGTCCAGGAGAAATTTTATTTTGGAGAGAGAAGGCAGGCAAATTTGGAGCTTGGAAATTTTTCTAATAAAAGAAAGACGAAGCTTGAATGCCAAGAGAAAGGAAATCAGGTTTATTCTCCTAAAAAGGAACTATAAAATTATCTATGCCTTTTCCTCACTAAACTCCCAATCAAATCTCTAGTTTGTTTATGTAACAAATGTCAGCTGCCACTTTAACTCATATCCATAAGTGAACACCTCCGACTGGGTCTGGGGTGGTATACCTGTGTGAGCTCCAGAAAGTTGGACTCTCGTGTCCCTTCTATCCTGTCTGGGACTCATTCTGATTGAGATTTAACTCCATCACTGCTTCAAAACAGCCTTTATATCAAGGTCACCTATTAGAGCCACTTTGCGAAATGCAAAGGTCAGCGTTCAGTCCTTGTCTTCCTCAATCTGCCAGCAAGCATTTGACGCCAGTGAGTGTTTTCCCCATTTTGTCTCTGGGAGCCTGACCACTCTAGCCTCTCTTTCTACCCACCGGAAACTCCTTCTCAGTCTCCTTTGCTGGTTCTTCTTTGTCTCCTGTTTGCAAAAAGTTGGGGTGTCCCAGGGCTCTAATATTTAATATTTTACTTCTCTCTGCCTGGGTTTGAATCCCAGTTCTGCCACCTGCTAGCTGTTTGCTCAGAAAAAAGTCACTTAATTTCTTCAAGATTCAAATTCCTCATTTATAAATTGGTAATAGAAGTAGCTACCTCTCACAGTGGTTATGAAGACGCAATGAATCTATTTACATAAAGTGCTCAGAACATGCCAGGCACTATATGCATTAATTATTTGTCCTTGTTCTTAATCACCATGTTCTTTATCACTCACTATCTACATGACTGCATCAGGTCTCGGCGGCATTCAGTTTTATCTACACACTATCACCTTTAAATTTGTCTCTAGCCTAAACTTCTGCTGTGACCCCAGAATCATATATTTAACTATTGGCTCAACATCTCCATTTAAATTTCTAATAATCATCAAAAATGTAACATGCCAGAACTTTTCATGTTTGTCTAGTTTTCGTTATTTCAGTGTATGGTAATCTTACTATTCCAGTCGTTCAGGCTCTGTTCCTACTGTAGGTCCAAATCCATCAGGAAATCCTTCCATTTTTACCTTCACACCCAGAATCTAACCACTTCTCAACAAACCCACTGCTACCACCCTACTCCAGAGCATCACCATCTTTTGCCTGGATTACTGCAATAGGCTCTTTTCCACCAATATTTTCTCTTCTCAGCACTGTAGCCACTGTGATAGCGCACATATTATATTAGCTGTATGACTTTGAACACAGAACTTCACCTCGCTAAGCTTCGCTTTTACCATCTGTCTGTAAAACAGGAAAGTAATAATACCCTCAGATTATTGTGAAGATTGAGAACGCATGCAAAGCACATTATAGAATGACTGGCAGCCTTTTGAGAATGAATAAGTGGTGGCTTTTAAAAATCCAAACTATTTTTTGGATGGGGGCTGTCTGTAGTTTCTTTATTTTTTAAAATTAAAAAAATATTTTATTTATTTTTGGAGAGAGGGGAAAGGAGAGAAAGAGGGAGAGAAACATCAGTGTGTTGTTGCCCCTCTCTCACCCCCTACTGGGGACCTGGTCTACAACCCAGGCATGTGCCCTGACTGGGAATTGAACCAGCAACCCTTTGGTTTGCAGGACAGCGCTCAATCCACTCAGCCACACCAGCCAGGGCTAGTTTCTTTATTTTTAAAAGTATGGGGATTTGAAAAAAAACTGTCTGAAAATGGCATTCATTGATTCCATAAATACTGTCTCTCGGGCCAGGTGCTCAGCTAGAATACACAGATGGAAGGAACATGACCCCACCCTCAAGGACACCACAGTGCCTGATGTTAGAAATAACATAGTCCTGGGCTAATGTCCAGACAAGAAAAGTAAAACCAAAGAGAATAATAAATTTTCCCACAACCTCCAAGAAAAGAAGCCTTATGGGTGAAAATTGAGTTTATTAATCAGAAACCTTATGGTTTCATATACTTTTCTGCCTTCCTTTAAAATTGATATCTGCAGTCATTACAGATTTAAGAAACTAGATCGGCATACATGTGAATACTTAGTGATCAGTGTTAGCCTTTATTTCTACCACGTGGGAGACGTTGTTTGGTGTTTCCCGTGTGCTGACTGTCATTTCCCGAGCTGCGCTTGCCTTTTAGTTTAGTAGTTTCTACTTATCTGAAAAAACAAGATGGAGAAGTCAGTCCAATGAAGTAAAAAATCTGAAATACAGAATAAAGTTTTTTCTGTTAAGTAAAAAACTTTAAAAACTATGCATAAAATAAGTGATTGAAATAAGTAAAATTACATTGATAATACAGCTTTTCTTCTTAATGCAATGATAAAGATCCTTGGGACAGAGAAGCACTCATTTTTCAAAGGTAGAGGTTGAAGCAATGTAAAAGGAACCTCTACATTTCTTAAAATTTTTGTTTTAAGCTATTTCTATCCAAGTAAGAACCTAATAAATCAAGATGTCAAGATTAAGATGATGGGCTTTTATTCTTTAAGACTTATAGACAGGCATAGCATTGAACTTCTTTGCAAGTTTTGAATCTGTGTTAAACTGAGCCCTAAAACAAGTCACAGGTATATGAGATTTACATGCATATAATATATGCTTGTTGAAATAAGGGGCCAAATAACTTTCAAATTACTTCAGTAGGAATATGAAGTCTTTATTAGTAATAAACCTTTTTTAAATGTTTAAACAAACACTTAAAATAATTGTCTGCCTTTGCCCATACAAAAGCAGTTCACCGCTTGAATAGTTGGGAGCCACTTTCTAAAATTCAGAAGTCAAGATTTAAACATGGTATATATATCATCACTTTTGCCCTCCTTTGCATCTGCAGTTCTTAATGAGGCCCCAATATTTGAAATGCCATTGTGATAGAATATAGCAATCAAAGGATGAAATCATTACAACATATTGGGTTATCTTTAAAGGAATTTCTTTCTCTAAATTGTATAATATAAAGGATGGGACAAGAGTAGATTTACAGTTGTGAGGATGCAAAACAGAGAGTCTATTCTTGTGTTATTATTTATTAGCTATTGTATTATCTTCCATGTGAACGACTATACACCTTTTTTTGCCCCACTCTGCACTGAGAGCTAGCAAGGCTTGGGACTCTCTAGGTGGATGTAAGAACCAGCACATATCACCCTGAGTGCCACCCTGTCACTGTCCACCATGACCACAAAACAATATTAAGAATGTGCTTAAAAAGAAACAGAAGTGACAAAAGAATAGGCAAAGACTCAGGAGTATACGTGGATGCCAGGGGATTATTTTGTGTGGACATTTGTTATTTTTTGGCCACATTGTTCTCCACTGGTGCATAACCTCTGGCCCATGGTGTGCATCTGGGTGGGGCCCTGTTAAACTAGGTGCTCGGTGCTAAACTAGCAGGCTTTGGTGGCAGAATGACACAGGAGGGACAGAAGGGTGGGCACCTCCATTCCATCACCAGAGCCCTGATGAGATGGGCATGTGGTTCCTGCCAAGGACGTTCCTGGTTTTCTAACCTTTCCTTAAATTCTGTGAATTCAGCCCCTAAATGTGCACATGTATGAACGCACACACATTGGCTATGTTGGGAGAGGCTGCCGAGAGAAGTCCTACTCCTAAGTGGTTCACTGCCAGCTGGTATCTCAAAGAAATGCAAATGCAGTAGGCCGGGGCCACCACACGTAGCAATGCACATTTGCACTGAGCACAGAACGTGAATGGGGTCCCCGACACCATGCAGTGAACAGTTTGCATAGCCGTACAGGGCAGCCCTGTAGGTACTCCGTCATTGTTCGTATAATATGGGTATGAAAGAGACAGGCCTTGGTTGTGCTGGCTAATCTAAGAAAGCACGTTTGTAAAGAGTATGATGAAGGAGGCAAAGGGGAAGAGTAGAAATGAGAATGAAGGGAATCTCTTATAAAAGCAAAAGCAAGCAATTCTCTCCCAGTGCCTTATCTGAAGCTCCCTCTTTTCCTGTGCTGCTACATTTTGACCCATGATGGATGCGGGAGCAGAAACCCCAACCAAGCCTCGGCTTTCCAGTCTACCTCTATTGTTACTACAATAGAAGCAATGAGAGTCAATGTTAAAAGCTTCAATTTATCGACAACTTTCTGTGAAAGTGTCATGTCCGCCCTTTTATCTATAGAGATTTATAATTGTAAAAAATTACCTTTAGGTTGTCTTACATGTTTTTTTTCCATTGGCCTTTTCTTTCTCTGTTTTCCTTCCCTTTCCTCACATCCATTCCCCTGAGAAAGAGGGAGACAGATGAGGCACAGGCTCGAGGAAATCAGAGGAGGATTCGGCATGGGGAAGAGAACCAGAGGGCAAAAAGAAAAATGGTGGGGAAAGAGGAAGAAAGGGAGTGAGGAAGAAAGGAAAAAGCCAAAAGCAGGAGAGAAAAAAGGCACAAAAGGAGGGGAATCTTATCCTGGGTCTTAAATTCAAATGGTGTTTTAGCCTCCTCATCAAAAATGTCTTTATTCTTTCCAATGGAGCCCATTGCTAAATTTCCCAAACAGGTTCTCGATTTCATCAAGGTGGAATAAACCTGGCTGCTTAGGATTCCAAGGAATTCGATTAGTCATCAAAGAAATGTGGGGAGGGGTGGGGAAAACATTCCCAGTATTTCATAAGTATTTTCCCCTCTTCTTTTCTTGAATCTCTATTATTTGTCTCTTTTCTTTTCACCTTGGAAAATAACACAGGATCGTAGACAAGACTATTGTTTGGGCTCCCTGGAAAGAAATCAGCAAAGGCAAGGAGAGCAAAGCCCAGGAAGACAAATGGAAAAGTCAGGAAGGGAGACGGACCCACACCCGGGGAGACAGGTTTAACCCGGGCCCTGCCTTGCAGCCCCTTTGTAAAAGCACACTTGAAGTGCCACTTCACCAAAAATCTGATTCAGAAAAGAGAAAAAGGGTGATTGTTTTAAACTGCTGAGAGGTTTGAGAGATGAATTAGAGACTGTGGCCCCCCCAGCTAGCCATTGCCCAGAATGGGGTGAATGTGAATCTGACGAGGTTCACAGTTCCGGGGGTTTGCTTTACAGCAGTGGGAATGCAGTACTTGGGCTTCTGCCTAGAGGAGAAATCAGATGTACAGACTCAGTTTTACTCTACACTCAGTTTACATTCAATAGGACGAGGGCTGATGATTCTACTGATGTTTACTTTTCTTGGGGTGGAGTGTTAAGCATAAGGAAGAGAGTATGAAAGGGGAAAAAGAAGTGATTCAGAGTGTGAAAAAGGGGAAGGAAATGCAAATCAGAGTGAAAATTGCAAAACTATACAATCCTAAGTAAGGAAAAACAGGAAGATACAGAAGAGAAAAATGGAAAGAATGAGAAAGTATGTGAAAGAAAACAAACAGGGAAAATCATTAATACTTTTGTGAAAACTGCATGCCAGTTTTGCATCTTGCACCGTCCTTGTGATTGAACAAGCTCGGGGAGATTTTGCTGCACGTGGACTGCTCTTTGCTTTGCTCCTCCTTTCCAGAGCCCCGTTTCAAGCTGCCCACTACGTTCACAAAGATGGGCCACCACGACCACAAACACAGCAGCTTATAGAATCGTGACAGGTGAAAGGGCATTGAGGCAGCCAATCATGCCCTCCTCATTCCCCCACCCATATGCACACACATTTGATAGTTGAAATAACTGAGGCCCAGAGAGATTCAATATGGCATCCGGAAACAGAGGAAGTGTAGTTTCAGTTAGAGGTCAAATCCAAGGCTTTTGTTTCTCAGTTCTGTGTTTGATAGTAAACTTCTTCACGCACCCAAAGTCTTCCAGTTCCTCTCCCAGCCTGTTTCATGGACTCACTAGTCTCTGGTCCTGTTGCCCCCGAACTCTGTTATCTTCAGTTTTTTTCTCTTGTCCCCACAGGTAGTTAGTTAACAAATCTTTTGACTCTGTAATCATGTCCTTTTGTCTCACTGCTTCTTACCTGGCCCAAGGCTTTGGCACCCTTCATCGGGATTATTATGCTGATTTCCTATCTCAAGTCTCTGCCAGCTTCTCTTAGAAATTGCAGCTGTCTGAAAACATAACCCTAATTTTGTCATTTCTCTCTCTTTCAGGGCCTTCTCCTTACCTACCAAACAGTACCATCCACACTCCCTAGCACAGCCCAAGACCTGCGTAGTCTGGCTCCCACCTCACCTTCCAGCTGCATCTTTCATTATCCCTGCAAAGGAGCAGGCCCTGCACTATCCCCTGCATTTGATTTTGTTCACACTCTTCTCTGTGCCTTCACATTCTTGCTTCCCCCTCTCTAACCCACAGACCGCCTCCTTCAGAGGATCTTTCCTGATCTTCTCTCTTGAGCTAAAACTAGGCTCTCCATTTTTCTCTTAAAGTGCCTATACCATTATAATTTATGTTATTCGTGCACATATCTTGAGGCCAGGTAATATGTCCTGTTATTTATTTAGTTTTGATCTCTTCCAGAGCCTGCCAGTACCTCATCTATAATAGATAGGTATCGAATGTGTGTTCAGTTGAACAAAATTGAGTTTGTGCCAAGACAAGTGAAAGAATCAGTCACGTGTAGGATGAAGATAAAACTATTGATGTCCTACATTAAACATTGATGTCCTACATTTAAAGTTTCCATGGCTTACATAATGAGTGCTTCAGAGTATATGTAGTTATGTGCTAACATGCTATGTGTTATTGATAAGGCTGCTGCTAGGTTGATCCTTTGCCTTTAGAGAATGAGAGGAAAATATTTGCCAGTTGGACATCTCTGGAATTTCTACAAATACACTTTGGTTTCTTTCTTTCTTTCTTTTTTGTTTTTTCGGCAGATGTAGTCCCCCCACTCCATGCGGGCTGCCACAAAGACAGAGAGCGCAGGGATTTTTTTCTTTCGCATCCCAGTGCAAATCAAAAGAACAACACTAGACTGTTTAAGGTCTATCGCTGGATCCCTTTGGTTTCTTTTTGAAATATCATTTGGGGTAGAAATTGAGAGATGAAAATTTTATGTACGACAAAGGCGATTTTGCATTTTTCTTGTAAACCACAACAGCATTTCCCCACGATGTTCCCAGGTTCAATACTGCGGGCTATAGGACAGGTGAAGTCACACTGCCGTGAAGTTGATCTAGCACTTTGGATGCTCAGCCCAGCGGGAAGGGCCAGAGACAGGTCCCATCTGTACAAACACCTATCCTTTAATTATTTGCCTTTTGTGAGGAGGATGCTTATAAATGTGGCTAAAAATGCCTTTTAGTGTTGGTTTCTAAAGTGGAAGTATTTTTTTCCCCTCTCCACTTAAGTCCAGTGAAATGTGCCTCTGTGTTCCTTCCGTGACGTTCCTTGCGTGCATGACTGGAGCTGAGGTCTGCGCCACCCCCGGGTCAGACACGAACTTAGAAGTGAGTCAGCAGCAAGCAAGGGAAGCGGTCTCCACTGGTGCCTGGAGGTCAACCCCCACATTAGAAGCTTGTGTTACAGTTTTAAAATCCTGAGACATGAGAATTTGTAAAGAAGAAGCTGCCAAACAAAACGTTAAATGGTATCACCTGACAGCAAAGCAGAGGCCAAAGCTGAAAGTAGGAAGAAAAGAGGGGCCAGATGATTTCAGATTTACCAAGAGATTTAGTGTGGACCCCTCCCCTTCCAAATCAGTAAGGACAAGGGGCCCTATTGTTTGGGTTCTGCCTGCAGAGCTAGCCTGGGAGTGGTTCTTGCCCAGAGAGTTAGATACTGGGAACTAGGAAACTGATCTCTACCAGACAGAAAAACGTGAAGAGATGCCTCCCACTTGACAGACAGCACGCGGACAGGCTTGTGAAGCGCTTCCGCAGTGGGGAACCCTCCGAAGGGAGCAAAGGCAGGGCAGGGGGCGCATCAAAACATCTCGCTCGATTCCTTTGCTCTCGACTGCTCTGTTCCAGGACCCAGAGGTGACTCCGGGACACCAGGGATTTCAAAGAAATATAGTGGAATTTGTTCCCTACCTGAAGTGTTTACATCAGTTCTCGTGTTCCTGTAAAAATAAACAACACACTTCAAAATTTTTGCCAGTGTAACCACAAATATTTAGAGAATAATTACTGAGTGTGAGACAACTGACCACTCTCTAAGTGCTTTGTAGATAGTCATGAGACATGATTGGCGCACCTAGGGCATCGGTGGTGATAATACATATTGAAGAAAAGTTACCTAAATTCCTGTAATGTGCAAGCTATCTGACCTGTAACAGCCATACAAGTAAATTGTGTGTAATGGTATATAATGTATTTAAATTATGTGTAATAATATATAATGTATATTGTCTGTCACCTGTCCCTCAGTGAGGCTGGGGTGTCCCCATTCTGTTTCCTCTTCAGCCCCTGGAAACTTTTTGGGGTCAAGAGTGAGGGAAGCTCGGGGGCTTACCTAAACAGTCAGCTGTGTTGGGGATATAAGCTTGCACAGAGGCTGGGGGGAGACTCAGCAGTGGGTGGGCGCCTGGGGCAGGAAGTTCTTCCTCACAGTCTCTAGTGGCCCTGGTGGGGTCACAGTGCCTGCGAATCTTACAGGTGAGGGGAAGCAGAGTTTGTCAACTCCAAAATATGCCTTTTAGAAATGTCGATTATTTTAAGCTGGTTATTTTTGAGAAACGGAAGACTCAGAGAGAATCTTTGACCCTCCCCCTTGCCTGCCTAAAGGAATTCAGATAGAAAACCCTGCTCTGCTCGGAGGAGGGGAGCTGTCAGCTCGGTGTCATGATGCGGTCTCAGTGTGAAGATGGGAAGGAAGAGGCCGAGCCAAGCCGGTGTTTAGACTCCCCTCTGGGTCGCATCGTTTCTGCGCGCCCTGGCCGGATCCGGTTCCCTAGCGTTCGCTCTCTCTCCTCTACCTGTGCACTGCCTCCTTTCCGTTGGTGATCCAGGCCCCTGCCTCCCTCTGCCTGGTCTAGAATAGCGTCTGGACTTCAGCTGCCCAGTCTGTCCGAAAGCCCTACATTCTCAGGGAACCCGCGTATGCACATATGCAATGAGTTTGGTTATTTGCTCTTGTTAATCTGTCTCGTGTTAATTTGATTATTAGACCAGCCAGATGAACTTGAAGGGTAGAAGGAAATTTATTTTTCCTCCCTGACACAGGTGAAGTATTTGCCCAAGTGATTATATTTCTTATGGTTTAGTGGCTAGAATAGGAGAGAAGCTGTCAGTTTTCCAGACTATTTTACTTTCAGAAATGTCTTTGGATAAAGAAGTTTGTTTTCTGCACTCCTAATTTTAAAAGTTAATAACAGTAATTAAAATACTTATTTTCTTAACCTCACTGGTATGCTAAAACATAAACCTAACTCACTTAATTTTCACCAAATCTTTGTTTCTTTGTCACATGTTCAATAACTATTTTGGAACTGTTGCTGTTTGAGCAAAAGAAAATAATTACCCTTAGATAATACCTTCACAGATAAGTACAAAGACATAATTATGATCCATTTCAAGGGTTCTGGCAAATACACCCAGTTCCAGTTCTAATGGATCTTTCCAAAGTAAAGGTTAAACTAGTAATTTTCTGAGGAGTTTGCAAATAAATGTTCATGTAGCCTTTACTAAATAGGTCTGGTGATTTAAATGAAGATTAAGCTTAATGATCAAAGTTTTCAAGAGACTGAGAAGTATAAAACAAATGTACTTTAAATAGGTATAAATTAAAATAAAGCCTGCCATTACCCTCCATAAAGCAAAGGGAAGAGTCGCACTAGTGCTATTATCGTGGAGTGAAAAGGAATGTTAATGCTTTACAAAGTAAATCCTTCACTCCTAAAGCACCTACGGTGACATTACAGAGGGCTCCATGGTCTTTCACTCATCCAGATTTGAATTTCTGAATTTACATTTTAAAGAAAAATGAATTTGTGGACAAAATAGCTAACAAGGTCATTGTTTAATTTTTTTCATTATTCCAAAGTACGTGGTTATAAAGTGTCACTGAAATTCATGGTCTTGAAGAAAAATATGTGGAATTTATTTACCACTCTCACAATGCCTGGCAAAGTCCTCCTGATCTTACAATATTTTACAAGGAATACTGTCCCGGAATAAAGCGCCGGTGAGTTCCACGCTATTCTTAGATCGCACCTGTCATTCACAATGAACATTTTCAAATTAGGCTCTAGCTACTGATTGTATTCCTGATGTACACTGGCAACGAAAAAGAATCCAGGCTTGATTAAATTGGGCTAAAGAGGATTACTTAGAACCAAAATTTGGTTTTTGCTTTGTGTTTTAAATTTTTACCTGTTTAACTTTCTCATGACACAGGAAGGTGAGACTGGCAGACCGGGCCTCAGAGAATTTGAGATTTGCTAACCTTCAAGATCCCTTTTATCTTTAAAATTCTGTATTTTTTTTTCTATTTAAGTCAAAATTTTTTTCATTTTTAAAGTGATTATAATAGTGAAACTAACAAAACTTTGCACTTTCATTTTTCACTGTAAAACTTTTTTATCTCACAATTTTAATATTTTAAAAAGCCACTAAGCACTAAGCTACTGCTCAGAGGATTTTTAGGGTAGTGAGACTATTCTGCAATGGTAGATACACGTCACTATGCATGTGTCAAAGCCCATAACAACCCCTTTTTTATATTTAAAAAGAATTTAGATAGAATTCATTGCATCCCTCATATTCATTTTTGCTAAAATAAGCATTTAGATCTACATTTTTCTCAGGTTTCTTTTTAGGTGTTACTCCAGAATGATGGATTAACTTTTCATCTTTATAATACTATAGTGTTCTCTCCCATTCATCTTGCAATGGAATATTCAAACTGTGAAACTAGTTTCTTTCAGATGAAATTAGTTGGAAGTGTTGAAAAGTATAAGGGATATGTAGAGGAGAAAGTATAGAGGAGTATAAAGAAGAAAAAGTACCCATCATCACTCTAGAACTCGAGTTCTGGAACTCCAAAACGTGGACCCTGCGATTCTGGTCTGTGTCATCAGCACAGCCAGCCCCGGACAGCAGCCCAGAATGCCAAGTGAATGATGTGGGAAGCGGGCACGAATTTGGACGAGATTGCACCAGATGTGGCTAGTTAAGAGGTGACCATGTCATTCGCTTGTATCTATATCTGAGAATGTTGGACAACAAACGCCTGAGTGGCGGGTACTTCCAAGCGTGGGCGTATTTAATGACCTCCGTCTTAGCATCCCCCGCATTTCCCTGTTTCTCATACCTGGATTCTTCAGCCTTGAGAGCTGTGCTTTTAAAACCAGTTGACGTTATTTCTGAGGTTTTATCACCCATCTCTTTGAATGTACTTGTCTCACTTTCTCCTGGGGTCAAGGTAGTATGAAAATCTCTTTCGCCTTCAAAAGTCAGTGTTACGTTTGGGATGCTGATGTGCTCTGAGCATGCTGTGGACGCATTCTTACTTTCTGTATCTCCTAGACAGTCAGGCTTCAGGATGTTTTCTATTTTTTCCTTTGAAAACAGTAAGCATGGGCAAGTCAGGTAACAGAAGAGCATTATACAAAAACAGACTATCTGTGGAGCCGTGTCTACAACAGTAACCACCACTCCATCTGATTTACTGAGCGCCCTTGAGCGCGTGGGCGCAATAATGAGGGAACCAGGCCCAGGAGGCCCGGCGGGTGTTGGAGGCTGGCAGCGGGGGGCCCTGGCACAGCACTCTGAAAAGCCCATGTGGGCATTCACCCCAAAGTCACCTCCCACGAGAGAATGAATACTTAATTACAGTACCTTCTCTCTCTGAATTATCAAGGAAAGGAAGGTTTTCTAGAAATACCTTGCTACCTGCTCCCCAGTCCGAGGCTGTTCTTGATTTAAGAGCATCCAATAGGTGAGAGGGGTTGAAGGTTCATCATCTTACTAGATCCTGAAAGATTTAGGACTTCTACCTAAAGCTGAATACCCTAAATTCTGTCCTGTTCTCCTAACGTCCCAGTTTCTGTGGATGCACCGCCTCTTGAGAGGCTCACTGCCTTTCTCAGGGTCTCCCTCAGGCCTTGGAGCTGGGTCAGCCGTTTCTGCGCTGCGTCCCTCCAACAGCCCTCCCACCTGCGCCTCCCAGTCCATCGGCTCCGTGACCTTCCCTTGAAAATAGTGCAACAATTTCCTTCCTTAAAAACTTCATTTTGTGTGACAACAGAAGTCATATATATTTATCATAGAATAATTTTTAAAACCCAATAAGATATAAAGTGAAAGGAAGAATGTTATTGCTTGCTTGAGGCCACTGGCCAGAAATAACTACTCTTGTGGCACATTCACTTGGTCTTTCTGTCCATTTATTTATTTGTATATGTATACTTTGTGCTTATATTTTCATTTCATATCCTACACTTTTTGCTTAACTATTTGTTGGGAACCACCCTGACTGGTATCAGAAGCTGAAACCCCCGCCTAGGCTAAGGCTAAGGGAACGCCCTTGGAACCGTGAGCCAGCAAGGAGACAAAAGCTTATCTCCCTGGCAGGAGTTCTGCTTCTGCTGCTTTATTCATGACTGAATCCCAAAAAGTTTGGTCGGTTAGCCAAAGACGGGTAAGATTCCCCACAGTGGGGAACGACCTAAGACAGGCACGATCACTTTGGGAGGCCCCCCAAAAGAAGGACCTGGGGGGCTGCAGCAAAAGGGGGTGATGGACCCTCGCTCCTCGGCTTTGACAAAGCCTGAGTTCTCAGCGTCTGGGAGAAAACCTCCTTGTCTCTCAGTTGCCTTAGTTCCCTTGCTCCACCTAAGCCTGAAACAATGACAGGGTGGTGCAGCTCTGTGCTGAAAAGGGCGGATCCCCCGGGTGATCAGGCCTAAGAAAGAACATGTAAATTACTGTGAAACCTTCTTTGTTTAGAATGCTCTCAGTTGAATGAGAAGGGTCTTAGGAGGAAGTTAGTTTGTTCCTCAAAGTCTTACAGCCTAATGAATACTGTACTTTACCTGAATTATTATGCAAAATGAGCCCAATAAAAGCAGGTATGGATGGTAAATCGGCGTGCTCCCCACTAGGGGGGGTGGCCATTTCGTCCCTACTTCCCCACAGAAACTAGTCTGTCTCTGTGCATGTCGTTTTTTCTCGCGAGTTTATCGTCGAGCCATCCGCAGCGTTTTGTGGTCACTGCTGGCCGGGGACCCACGCGCAACAACTATTTATTCTGTTTAATGCTAATAAGCATTCCCCTTATTATAAATTGAATTATTCTAGTTAAAAATTAGTTTGTTATTGTAGGAAACAGAACATTCAGAAAAGCGTGAAGAAAACACAAACCCCCCCATATGACTTTTCCCTCTTCTATTGTCTTAACGTGTATAAAAGTATTTTTATACAGTAGGAATTATAATTTTTCACTCTATATCATGAAGATTTCTCCAAGCAAAGGAAAACTCTTTAACAATTTTAATAGCTAAAGAGTATTCGTTCATTTAACAAATGTTTACTAAGTGCCTATGATCTAGCCAGATACGAACTATGGCCACTCCTGAGTAAGACAGATGCGGGACGGCCCCTCCCGGATTCAAACCCACGTAGCCATTTCCCCTGAAGTGGACATTTAGAATATGACCATATTTTCATTTTTTAAATAAACAGCACAGATGTGGTATGATTAACATCTTTATAGCTAAATCCTCATTCCTATTTCTGATGAATTCCTTTAGAAAGATTCTTAGAACTGGGATCAGTGAGCCAAGGTTATTAACATTCTTAGGTTCTTGATTCGTGATGATTTCAAGCAAGTCTGTACCAATTCTCACCCCTCCCATGAATCTAACCAGAGCTTTACTAACACTGACCATTTTTATTGTTTTAATGAACAGTTTTATAGGTTAGATTTTTTTAAAAATTTGCATTTGTTTGCTTACTAGCGAGGTTAAACATTTTCCACTGTATTTACCGAGATTTTCTTTTCTGAACCTTCTTCCTTGCCCTTTGTCATTTTTTAAAACTTGTGGGCCCCATCGAGGTTTCATGCAGTAGACTTCAAACTGATTTCTTTACCTACAATCCATTTTACCTACGATTTGATGCCATTAAACTAATCTTTTAAAGACACAGCTCCTTCACATCTGTTACAGGAAGGGGTATTGTGGCTAAACTTTGCCCAAAGACTGAAATCCACACTTCTTATTTTGGCATGCAAGCAACTTACCATCCTGTATCTGAATATTCTCCACATATCTTACGCTCCAGCCAAACTGAACTAACCATGCTTGGATATGGCTCTGGGTTTTCCCACTTTCTGACTTTATCCACAGCCACTCCTTTTGGTGTTTTAGTGTCCCATGTCCACCCTCACTTTTACCTACTGAAGTTTCACCCCATCCTTCAATGTACTGCAACCTTCTCCACATTTAAACCTTAATGAGGAGACTGAGGCTCATGCAATCTCAGTGACATACCCACACTGCTCTGCAGCAGGGCAAGATTCCAGCCCAGGCCTCTGACTCTGATCCCTTGGCTCTTTCCACCCCACCACAGCTTCCTGGCACTGTGGTAAGTTTGGCGGTGAGGGTGGGCACTATTTCAGGAGACACCCGATGACAACTTTCCACCAGGGCTTGGGGCTCTGATGTCATTATTGGAATTAGGTGACTAAGAGCAAGTTCCGTAGCATTTTGATGATCCACACCAGGTAGCTAACCAGAATCTCAATGATCGCTCTTATCTTTGGTCATTAAAGACTTAGAAGTCTGCAGTGCCACATACCTTTTCCTTGGCCCTTAGTATGTCGTCATTTTCAAACACCACTTTGACCTCCGAACTATTTGTGACGTCATGGAGATCTGTGACTTCTGTGACTTCTGTGAAAATTTTGATGTCTGGGGCCTCGGCGACCTCATTTTCTGGAACATCTGTGACGTCGGTGATGTCAGTGACGACTGTTAATTCTGAGAACTCGGCGCTGTCTACGGCGTGTGCTGGGTCTGGGCCTGCGTGCATGTGTGGGGCCTGTAGAGCCGTGAACGCTGCGATGTCCATGATGTCCACTGAGCCCGTGATGTCTGTGCTGTTTGTGATTTCCGAGAGGCTTGAGACTTCTGACACTCTGGAAGCTCTGGCTCTCTCCTGGTTCAGGAGGGAGATGAGCTGCTCCCACTGAGAAAACAAGGCGTCCTGCTTGTATGCAGGGGCGCAGAGCTGCAGGTAGTAGGCTCGGCCACTCACCAGCTTTACTTTGAGGCGCATCGTCTTTGCGTCATGCACGGACAGAGTCACGAACTGCAGGGGGAGGAACCTGCAAACAGACACACAGGTCATCTGGGGGCCCGACTGGAAAGCTATCAGGGGCCTTTCCATTAATGTCTTATAATGGTTTGAAGAGTGAGACTTGGGACAACAGGCTTTCCTCGCACACGGGCCTGGGCAGGGGCGGGCACGGAGCAGGGCGGTGCCTTCTTATAGCCGCCACGTTCCCAGGTCTGGTCCTAGGGGGTCATCCTACCTGAATCCCATTCCTGGGGCTCTGATATACTAAAAAAAAAAAAATCAGAGTATCAGCTATTTACCCCAAGGAGTCATCCTATTTCATCCTGCAAACCTGAGCCTTAGAGAACTCAGGCAATTTGCTCTAGGCCATATAGCAAGTTGGTGGCTTGAGACAGGACCAGAGATAATTTTGATGGAAGTTGGGATGCTGGGGGAGAGGGGCATGTTCTAGAGAGGCAGTCTGGGTCTTTAGTTCCTGCTACTTAAGTTTAATAAAAATAAAAAAGTTAACCTCCTGTTTGGCTGCTGCCAGGTTGCCACACACTATTTTCCCGGAATCTGAGGGAGCGACTCGACCTTTCGTGCGCGGCACGAGTGCCAGTGAGCAGCTCCCTGGGCGCAGCTGTTTCCGTTTTCAGCTCCTCAGGGGCAAAGTGTATTTTCTGAAACATCTTTCACCTCTTCCTTTGTAACTCACCTGGTGAGCACCAGTTTCTCAGGAACATGAGATGTCAGGAGACTTTTAAACAGGGGTTCTGTATCTTTCCGGGCGGTGGGGGTCAGATGTGCGAGCAGCATCATGTTGGGGGTCTTGGGGCTGTGTCTGGAAGAGCAGATGCCTACCGTCACCCAGTTGGCTCGGTTATGCAGGTAGATGGACTCACCTCTCCTGTTGACCTGAGACAGACAGAGAACAGGAAGAGAGGTTTTCTGACAAAGTGCATGGTCCCGACAGCCTTGCTGGCCTGAGCTGTGTAGGAAATGAAGGAGCAATGAGCCATAGGATGCACTGGTCACTCACATGTTCATGTGAATTTTTGGAGCTTTCACAGTGACAGGGCAGACACAGTCCCTGACCCAGGGAGGTCCACAAAGGGAGGCAAGCATTAAACAAGTCTGTCACTATTACTATTGGAAGAAGAGTTACCAAGTACAAGTTCAGGCTGCTGTGCTGTGGCACACACAACAGGGGACTTGACCTAGAAGAGGATGTGGGCAGGGGTGTGCTGGTGAACACGTAACAACGGTCTCTTGGAGGGTACACACCATATGTCTGTTATACATTTTACTGATATAAAACATAAGAAGTACACGATTTACAAATAGTGATATGCAACACCCTTTTAAAAAATTCTATTCAGCCAGCTGATTTTCATAAAAGTCTTTATTGACCTTTGCAAACTCTTGTATCTGTAGCCTCAAGAGCATAGATAATAGTAAAATGTAGTGAAATAATAGGAGTGATGAGTTTTGAGTATTTGTTACCTTTGTTTTGAATATAAATTAATTTTAAAAATTTTTATAATTTAAGTTTTAATAATGGCTGTGTTTAACAACCATTTGCAAACTTCTTAGACACTTGTCAGCCAGCCAGACAAAGGGTCAGAGAAGTCCCCCCGAGGAAGGGCCTCTCACTGAGCCCCGGACACGGCGGGACCAGAACACACTGGCTGTGTGGGCTGTCAGGCCGAGGGGCTGCATGTGTAGCACCCCAAAGCCTAAGACTCTCGGCCAGTAAAATCTCTGCCAGTCAGAAGAGGAGGAAATTGGGTGGACAGGGATGTGAAGGAAGCCACAGAGGCTTTAAGCAACACTTGGTTTCTCCACTGTACAATAACTGGTTCAAAAAGAAATAAATAAACCACTTAAAAACAAATATACTCTGAAAACTGTTGTAGCCCTCACTGTTGATTGATCTATTCGATGCCATCCCCTCTTCTTCCCAATGAACAGAATTCTAGTTTTGTCTCATACCCACCCCTCAGGGATGGTGCCCCAACCCAGGGGTTAAACTATGACTGACCTAAACCAGTCATGGTGACCCATCCCCTTGTCAGTGATTGCTTGCAGCAGTGGCATGTGACCAGGCCTGGCCAATGAGACACTAGTGGGGGTCCACTGGTGGCTCTGGGAAAGAATTTTGAGTCCTCGCAAATGGCTGTGAAGATGAGAGGCATCCCTTTCACTGCTGGCAGCTGTTGCTGTCTTGTTTGCATGGGATGTGGGAGGGAGATGACTTAAGGGTGACGGAGCAAAAAGAGAGGACTTGGGTCCCGGGTGGCTCCCTGAGGGTGAGCCAATGCCCTGAGGCTCTTGCATTCTATTCGAGGTAATAGTCGTTCTTTTTCCATTCAATCTTGTTGAGTCTGCAGAAGAGAATAACCTTTTCTAATTCTGCCTGATCTGGGGCCGTGGATGGACTGTAGAATGCTAACTGCCCCGCAGTGTTCATCAGAACATGCAATGGGTATTTGAAAAGTGTGCAAGAAGAAGTGCAAAAAATAAAATAAAAAGATTGTTAATAGGAAAGAAGCATATGGAAAGTAAAGTATATAAAGTATGACTTAATCATGTGTGTTCTGGGGTATCACTTAAACATTAGTGTCCATTGAGAAGTCACCTCCTGACCATGGTTCTGGAGGAGAGGAGGTCGGCCCAGTTCCCAGGTGTTGGTGGAGAGATGATGCTGTGTCTGTGGTCGTGCCTGTCACCCCTCTGTGGACTCCGCTGGGGTGCTGCTCAAATGGGTGCGTCTCATGTTACACTTGGTTGTAGCATTTTAATGAAGTTTAGGGGTATGGTCCACACCATTGAACTCATTTGTCTGAATGTTTTAATGTGGAGTGTTCAAAGGGAACTTAGAACTGCTCCCAAATGCACTGAAATGTAGTTTCATTCAGAATATGGGTAGGCTTTTATGAAAGGAAACTTTTCTCTCTGGCACAATTTGACAATTATATTTTACCTTAAGAACTAAGAGTGGAAATTCACTTTAAATCCTAGTTGTGTCGTAGATATTATTCTTTAAAATGTCTTCTAGATCTAAGAAAGGTTGAATGCTTTCCCACGGCAGGACATCGTAAAAATGACCATTGTCCCTTCATGTAATTTTGGCAAGATTATGATAGACAATTACAGGAAAGTTAGGACAGAATTCCTACGTTAGAGTTGGGAAAATTTGAAATGAATTTGTCTTCAACAGCATAATTATTTTCAGTTGTTTAAAATCCCCAAACTGTTCCCTTCAATTGTATCACACACAACCTTGTCACACTTAAAGCAATTCTCTCCCAACCTGCTCAGTCATCATTGACATCGTTGAAGTTATTACAGCATAATTCAGGGCTCAAATATTTACCTGGATAAAGTTGCCCTCTAGCATGGGCGGAGTCACAAAAGGGGCGTACTCCCCTTTGTCCAGCTTGTTCCGGAAACCTCCTGGACCACGCAAGGGGGGGACGCGGAAGGCTTCTTGCTCACGGGCCCTCGCGGTAGGCTTCCTGCTGTTCTTCTTCATGGCGCTCACACACAGACCTCAGAAAGCTGACGAAGTGGACACACCATGAACAGACGCAGAGAAAATTTAATGTAACACATAAGGAGCCTCACTTATTCATTCATTTGTTCAACAAATTTCATCAGCATCTACGATCTGCCAGGTGTGGTGCTGCGCACTGGAGACACATCTGAGCAGGACCGATAGGACCCTCCCCTCCTGCAGCCTGTGCTCTGTGGGGAACAGGAAGTGAGCAAGGAAAACCAATGATGTTGGATGATAAGGGTCCCAAAGACTCTAGAACAGATACGTGGAATGGAAGCGCCTGCGGTGTGGTGCTGGCAATGCTAATTAGGGTGGTAAGGGAAGGCCTCTGTAGGCGGCCTCGAAACATATGCCCCGTGTCCCCCAAGTCATGAATCCTTGTCTTCCTAATTGATGTACCAGTACCACTTCCACCACTCAGGGTTCACAAGTCATTTTTTATAAGTAGGGTGTAAAACTGCAGTAAACTGAGAACATTTCTTCCTGATCATTCACCCATGACGGAGCTTAGTTCTTGGTTGGGAGGAGCCGGTACTGATTTAATCAACAACCGTTATTCATCTCCCGCTCCCTCTCCGGAAACCGCGGCGACAGACACCAATGGCTCTGCCTCATTAGATCTTATCCTTAATGCATCTCAAGCATGAACATACTGGAAGCAAAATGAGTCAAGAAGAGCAAGAAAGTAAACTAATCCAGAGAAGCCAAGATGTAATAAGAATGAAACAAACAAACAAAAAAGTACTCGGAGAAATAAAGAAAAAAAGAGAGAGCTAAAACAACTACCATCTAAAACAGAGAGGAAGGGAAATAATAATCCACAGAATTTTAATTTGGTGCTTGTTTTGTGGGAGACAATATAGGCTTTATATGCCCTGCCTCATTTAATTCTGATAAGACTATGAAATAGCATTATTAACATATTCATTTTATATACTATGCAGTTGAGGCTTGGAGACAGAAAGTAATTTACCCAACGTCACACAGCCTGCGCGTGCCCCACACACCAGGAACAAGACCTGCATAGTCTGACCAGAGGAAGTTCTGTTGTTGCTCAAGCTTCAGGCCTGCCTCCAGTGCTTGGAAAGATGGATGTGAGGACTGGCAAGGGTTAGAGGGGTCAGGATAGGTCGGGATAAATGGGAAAGAGAAAAAAGGAGGGAGAATTAAAGAGTACAGAAGGTGTTCTTCTCCTTCTTTCTGTTCCTGTTCCTTCTTTCTATTCCTGAACAATTTAGTTCTAAATCCACTAGCTAAACAAAGAGAGGCAGGAGTCTGTAGTGGGGAGAGTGGGGAACTACAGCCCAGAACACTCTCTCCCACTTGGATGCCCGCCTCACCCTGCTTGGGCTGATTCCTTACACTGGGTTGCACCTACCAGGAGAGGGGTGCAACCCAGTGTAAGGAATCAGAGCCCAAGCAGGGTGAGGTGGACATCCAAGTGGGAGAGAGGATGGTGGAAGGGATGGGTAACCAGTTACATCCAGGGGAACCGGGATTAATGCAATAAGAGACCATGAGGCTTTATTCTGATATTAGTTAATTAATTAAAAGGTGGATGAGGAACAGAATATTTACACAGTTCAAACCAACATATTCATTAATTTCAAAGGGGAAAAAAAAGGACTTTACAGTGAAGAAGACAGGCAGACACCTCATAATGAAGTGAGTTGTGAACACTGTCAGCAATGGGACAAATCAAAATAGCATGCCACCATACCGGATGCAGTGAGCAGCACGTAGTGTCCTTCTGAGATGTTCCTCCCAAAGATGCGTGGCCTGAACTGCATCATTAGGAGACATCAGGAAGACCCACATCAGGGAAAGTCTACAAGATAACTGGCTTGTGATCCTAAAAAATGTCAATGTAATGAGAGACAAAGAAAGACTGGCACTGTTCCAGGCTGAAGGGGACTAGAGAGATGTGACCACTCAATGCAGTGTGTGAGGTTCTAAACTGGGTCTTCTGGTGACGCAGGCCCTGACTGGGACTTTCAGCGAAGTTCGAATGGGAAGTCAGGATTAGAGGGCGGTAACATGCAGTGCTCACGTCCTGATTTTGATGGTTAGTTACATTTTGCCTATGTAGAAGGACATCTTTAATCATAGGCAACACCAACTAAAGTATTTGGGGATAATAGGACATCGAATTGGAAAACTACCCTCAAAAGATTCAGGAAATAATATTCTGTAAGTCTGTGACAGTTTAAAGAAATTAATGGGAATAATAATACAAAGAAAAAGTAAAAAGGCGGAGAGGAGACGATGGGGGAGGGGAGATGGATGAGTACTGAGGTTCAGGCCGTGAGTGCAAAAGGCCGTATTAAACCATTCCAGGTTTCCAAGGCCAGAGCTTTGCAACAGCAATGGAAGACTTTTCGTGATGATTGGATGATTAGGAAAAAGCCCATTTGCGTATTTTCTCCTCCGAAATTTGTCCAGTAGGACAAGACATTTATTCCAGCATCGCTCAGGGGCTGAGAGGCAGTGAAGCTGCCTGGGAGAACCATGGGACTCCGCATGTGCTCCACCTCTCACCTGGCTTCTCCGGGGCCCAAATATATGCAGATCTCCTGGAATGTGGCAAGACGTCATTAGAAAAGGACGCCTTTAAAGGAGAGCACAGTGTAATGGGGAAGAAAAGCCAAGGTCAGCAGTCCTTCTGGTCAGGCTTATAAGCTGTTATCACAGTAACAGTTCACCCTCCATTTTCCAGGACGGCTGTGATTTCCTATACTTTTGTCCCTCTCTGCTCTGACTCTCCTATCAGCTCACGTGTCCCTTCTTGGCATCTAGGAAAATTGATCATCATAAGCAGCATCTTTCTGGGAACACTGAACTCCCAGAAAAGAGAAAGAGGGAGAGAAAGCCTGGGAAGTGCAGGAGGAAAGGAAGGGAAAGGAAGAGAGACAGACACAGGGAAGGAGAGTGTGGCTGGTGTATCTCAACACGGTCCCACTGGGATGCGCCCGCACGTCTTACCTCGGGTCAGGGCCCAGCCACAGCCCTCTCTCGGAGGCAACGTTTTTAGCTCACTTCAGTCTGGGCTTCCTCCTTTTCATGATGAAGTCTTTCGGGAAGGAAACAAAAAATAGAAAATAAAGTTTATAGTATAATTTTAAGAAAATTTTGACACTTATCCTTACTCTTATTTCAAATGTGAGGTCTGTGGCTTAGAAAGCATTCTTCCAGCTGAACTTGGTGGGTGAAGTGGTCTGAGGACTTCTGTCCGTACCCGGGCTGAGCGGCTGTCAGTGACCTGGTCACTTTCTTTCGGGGAATGCGGCCAGACAGCCGTGAGTCTGTAGCTCGCAGTGGGCCTGAACTGCCGACCAGTGAAAAGCTGGGATCCTAGAGCCAATGATGATATTTGATAATGTGAGAAAGGAAGTAATGTCAACCCCAGTAACCTTAGCAAAGGAGGGCAGTAAGAAGCCTGAGTCATCTTCCCGTGCATAAGCCACAATAGCCTAAAAACTCTCTAACTTCCTAGCTGTTTGTTCTAGTATGTATGTATATGCTTATATATGCTTATGCTCACTATTTTGCCACTTGTGTATAGTTCTCACATCATATTATGATTACAGTCACTATAGACAATTCTATCTTGTCTCTGTAAAATTCCAACTTAAGTAACCCCTTCAGGAATACGTGGGCCAGGTGAACTGTAACTGTAGTCGCCATCAGAGCTTATGTGACATAAGGCCAGTATGGAAACTGGTCTGGTGGGAATATGATAATGTATTTGGGAGTCAAACACATCTGGGTTCATATTTGGGTTCTATCACCTGCTACTTTTATGACCTTGCTCCACGTTACTCACATCTCAGAGCTCACTTTCTCATCTATAAAATGAGGATAAAACTACCTCAGTCAAGGCAGTGTTGGGATGACTGAACGCACTGATGCATATAAAAACCCCGAACACTGCGACTCTCAAGCAGTGAGCACCTAAGTGGTGCTTGGATTGGTCTATGAAAAGTGTAATCCGCCCAGCACTTGCTGGGCTGGGTTCCCTCTTGAAAATGCTGGTTTCATATTTCCCAACTTTCCATTCTAAGACACATGTTTTTCCCCAGCTTGACAACAACTCTGAAATGGAGTCTATCTTGTGGCCAGTGGGGGACAGTGGCATGGTGGGTGTTATTTGGCTGCACATGCATGAACTTAATCATGGTTGTTTATATTAAATTATAATATAATTATAATTATACATTGATTGTACGTACATTGATTGTATGACACAGGTTGCATTTAATTACCAATTAGAATATGTTCTTCATGGGTAGTTGGGAACATTTGGTTGATATCTTCTGGTAAGATTAAGAAAATTCCAGGACAAAACTTGCAGAACGCAAGCTGGAGGCTCGGAAGATCCCAGAGACTAGAGTGAAGCACTCCTTTAAGGAATACACGGGATGGTGGTACAGAGGATGATGGGTATTGTGTGGAAGAAATCTAAGCAATAAGAAAGCATTGCACTATGTAATTAGCAGCATTTTTTTTCTCTCAGTCATCTGTAAAATAATGGTATATCTTATAATGTGTGCATCTTAGATTCGATAAAACGCAGTAGTCAACTCTTGCTCATCTGGAAGTGGGTGATAAAGCACACATTTCTGAAAAAAAGGAAAGTGACAACACCCACCTATTGAAGGGTGTGCTAATGTTTACGAGCACACGCTAATCAGTAGACGCCGTGTGGTCGTGGGAATAGGGAATACCCGTGTCCAGTGCACTCATTTATGTGGCTGCCAGGATCCCTTGTATATGAGGACATCATCCCTCCAGAGAGAAAGCAATGGATGATCTCCCAGGGGAGCTAGTGTGGCTGTGGATTCAGGGCCACAGAGAGGAAGGAGGAAATGACGGGAAGGTGAGGGCTTCTGCCGTTTTGCAGCCATGGCTGGGACTTGAACTGAACAGCCTTGGCTGTAGCCGTGGCTGAACCTTGGAATAAACGGGATGTCGCTAAG